CATACTTTCAGCTAGCCAAACCATTCAGATGTCAAAATATTCAGCATTTTCAGGGCAATCGTTCAGCACTCAGCATCCATACGCATTTTCTTCAGAAAATGCATTTCTTTAGTTGTTTTTGTTTTTCATTCATACTGACAAGGATCACACTGTGACTCTGCCAGGCGTGGCACAAGGAGTAGCTAATCAGATTCTAGGAGTGGCCAGTGCCACTGCTGGGCACCCCTTGGCCCCTGCCCATGCAATTACAGACACTTATTCATAGACAAAAAAGAAACAGAAAATTATTAATCAAATTTTAACAACCAATTCCAAATTGTCTTTTAAACAGCAGAGTCAGTTTCCATCTGGAGAAATATGGACTCACCAACAAATTTGCCTCTCTCTTTCTTTTAGTACAGAACACCACAGGATTTGGAATTGTATTTGTACGATTTTATAACTTACAACTGACTCAAAAATGTTGATTTTTGTCATTGTAATTTGGAACGGATCAGTGGAAATATGCATGAGTCAACTGTTCTTTAGAAGATTTTAGAAGTTTCTGTCAATTCTTTGTTGCTTTGGCCCAGTTGCCAGGATCAGTTCTCAGGCTTAATAGTTACTTCTCACTGCCATTATGAAGCTGGCAACCTGCAAGAGTGTACAAAGCAGCTTTAACATCTTATTCACATCTTGAAATGTAGTTGTCCTTGGGGATTGGGATCTGTCACATGAACACACAAACCATTCTGTCAGCATTTCCTTAAGTAACCATTAGCCTGCTATTACAGCTTAATTAATATTGATTGTCTGAGGTGGCTATCATCATGACATATTATCATGGCAACGCTATCCCCCCAACTGATACAGACTGAATAAAAATGATTGGAAGTGTCTGTATCCATACAAGGGAGGAGGGTGGGTGTGCAGGTGTATGCTAGTGTTATAAGCCAAAGGCCTGGAGACAGAAGACCCAGGTTCTGGCTGGAGAGATGAAGTAGATGTGGAGCAGTGCAAGGCAGGTTCTGGCTGGAGAATCGAAGTAGATGCGGAGCAGTGCAAGGCAGGTTCTGCCTGAAGAAACAAAGTAGAAGCAGAGCAGGGGAAGGCAGGTACTGGCTGGAGAGACGAAGCAGGAAGCCAGCTTAGAAACAGGAGCATGGGAAGAAGGTCTGCATACAATTGCGAAGAGGAGCCTGGATCTGTTCAGGAGCGAACATAACAATCTGGCGACGAGAACACGCCCATGCCTATCTTAAGTGGAGCTGGGCAGATTAGTAACAGCTGCACTGGGCATGTCTCTTCGCCTAGTCCAGTTGCCGACATGTGAGGAAGCAGAGGTGCCAGCAGCAGATGTGACAGCTAGGAATATGCTAAATTAGGGTGCACTCACCTACTGTAGGCTTCAATGTTTCAGACTTGCACTGTGTTCTGCAATGAGAGCAGCTGTGCCTGGGTTTCCCTTTCCAGATGTGGCATGCACCATAGGCGTTGTTAGACCTCTTTTACTGGAGTGGCCCTGTACTGATCAGCTGTTCCCCAATAAAATTACACATTCAAGGTTTAACAAGCTCCTATATTGGCAGTGGGTTAATTTTGTTTGATAATAATGGTAAAAGAACTGATTAGTTGTTCTAAATCAGAATGTCAAAGCAAAATACAAGTTGAGGTGCAGTGCTCAGGGTTTGTGCTGGTGCACCGCAGCACACACAGCAATCCATGTATTGGCACATGAAACAAAAGAAAGGAATGAACTGAGGTATGTGACGAGACTAAATTATTTTGTGAATAATATCAATAGCCTTATTTTGACTAAAACATTACTGACTCCTGTAGATAGGAATGAGAAAATTATTTAGTGATTGTTTGTTGTTGCATTGGTTGTCTTGATGCTTCTCTGTTGGAGGTTTTTTCCAAGGGAGTTTTTCCTCCACACAGTTGCCAAGTGCTTGCTCAAGGGGGATTTGTTGGGTTTTTCCTCTATAATAATAATAATAACAGTAAGCTCTAGACTTTACTTTGTAAAGTGTCCTGAGATGACTTTTGTTGTGATTTGGTGCTATACAAATAAAATTTTATTGAAGTGAAATTAAATACAGTTTTTGAATCATATCAATGGTCTCTTTTTGACTCAAACATTATTGACTCCTGTAGTTGCACATAAGAAAATTCTTTAGAGGCTGAGACAGGGAAAATGTTCAGAGAGAAGAGGGTGAGAGAAATGAGACCAGGCTGTAGTTGGTAAACAAGATAACAATAACTTAGCTATCTAGTAAGTCACCAGGCATGGATGTTGAATGTGAAGTAAATTAGAGCTCTGTTCATCAATGCGTATAATCAGTTGGACTACTCTTAAAACAGTCATAATACATCACACTGTTATTTATCTCTTACTGGTCTAGGACCCAAAATGCAGACCAGACTAGGAAGGGGGCTTAAAATGTTTTTATTAAATAAATAGGGTACAAATAACCAAGGTGTAGCTATGGTGCCGGGAGCCCTCAGGTGAGTCCGACAGGCAGGAAAGAGTTAGGTGGAGCTGCCTGGTCAGGAACACATAGCGGAGACAGGCAGGAGAGTGGTCGAGGTAGCTGGAATATCAAGATTACACAGGTGAGACATGCAGGCAGGAGAGTGGTCAGGGCAGCTGGAGTATTGAGAACACACAGGTGGAGTCAAGCAGACAGGAGAGTCACGACCGTGACGCTGGAGATTCAGGAACTCACAGGCAGTAGGTTAAGGCTGACGTGTGGCACCGTAGTTGGTACACAGCACGTAGTGCGGGACAGGAGTGTGACAGAGTCGCTGAAGATTCAAGAACTCACTGGCAGTAGATTAATTTAAGGCTGACGTGTGCCAGTGTCGCTGGGACACAGCATGTAGTCCAGGACAGAAGTGTGACAGCGGCGCAGGAGATACAGGAGCTCAGCACCAAGACAGTTCAGAGAAGAGATAGGACTGGAATTATGACAGCGCCGTCAGTGCAAAGGATCAGTGCCGAAGAACAGGACAAGAAAGGCCGGGTGTGGTGAGCATCGTGAACAGAGTGAGTATCATCAGTATCTTCAATAGACCAGCCAGTGACTGAGGGAAAGGGAGAGGTATTTATGGGCTGTAGACTGGGAGATAATGAGTAATTGATGCAAACCATGAACAGTGATTGAGAACTGAGGTAAAGCTGGGGCAGGTGACGGAGAGCAGGAAGAAACCAAAATAAAAGCTCTCAGAACAGGAAGTAATGCCAAACCATGACACACACATAGCAGTTTATGTTAACATTGGACTGCATTGAATGAATAGCCTATGACATAATATGCGATGCTCTTTCACACTGTTCAAATGATGTTTGTTTTATGCATTTTTAACAAACAGTTGAATTTGAGGCAGGAAGGGAAAATGCGGAGGAAGCTGTCCGTGTCTGTGGAGACAGGTGTGTGGCGCAGCCATCCACTGCACAATAAAATTTTGAAGAAACTGGAGCATTATGTTATGCAGCCTTATGAGTTACCAAAAAAGAGAATGTTTTTCTTTAAATTAATGATTTGTTGATAGATTGATTTGTTGTGAAAGTTTAAGTTTAACAAATCAAACTGGGGCTGCTTGACAATTAGCTAAGTTATTGTAAAATGCAGAAGAATGCAAAGAGATCCCCAATACAGGGCCAGACCTTTTATCAGGTCTGCTCATCACACCCTGCCTGTTTGTATTGCTCTTGTACGTTCTCTAAGATGCTTCTTGTTTGGTTTCTAGTCCCTGCAAACTTTGGACTGTTACAATTTGGACTCTTGAGTGGTGACAGGTGTGATGAAGTTATTCATTTTTCTACAATCCGTTGTGGTTTGTGTCCTGCTTCCTGTTTTGTGCTTTTATTTTTAGTTAGACTTCCTGTCTTATGTTGGCTTACCTGCCCCAGCTTTACCCCGGTTCACAATCACCATTCATGGTTTCCACCCGCTGCTCGTTATCCTCTGGTCTCCTGTCTATATATCCTCCTTCCATTCATCAGTCAGGTTGCTGGTTCATTTTGTCTCCACACCTTGTTGCCCCTGTCATCTGTTTGACACTTTCCACTCACCACACCCTGCCCATTCGCGTCCGTTGTGGATTTTCAGTTTGTGCTTTTAGGTTTGTTTGCGTTTTTTGTGGTTTTGAGTTCTTTTTGCCTTGCTCTCTGACTGAACTGTTGTAAGTTTCTGTCCACGTTCTTTACTTGTCAGGTTGACCCTCATGTTTTTTGCCCTGGTCCTGTTTCACCCTGTTATTAAAAAGTCCAAGCAACTCCTTGGTTCTTGTGTCTGCACCTTGGGTTCTACCTCACCCGTAAATCCTAACACCTTTGTGCTATAAAATCATGCAGAGAATGTTCTTAATGTATGTTGAAGTACATATTTTCATAAAGCTTATTATGTCTACATTTTACCTTTAGCAGCAGCAGTAGTAGTAGCAGGCAGTGGAATAGTGTTCTAAGCAAGGGAAGTTCACAGCAAATTTATTCATGCAGAAAACATTTAAGAACATTAAAAAAAAAACAATTGTGCGATTTGAGTAATGGGGGCCTGTGCCCCAGTAGAGCTTTGCCTAGCAACGCCCCTGGCATGTACCTTTAGGATTCTGGATTCCTGTGTGAATACTGTCTCATGCCACCCATAAAGGAGCAGAGTTGTGGGTTAAAAACCAAGTCCTACAGACCTGCTGTTTCTTTCTAGGGTAAGACTAGGAACAGCTGCTACATAAAGGATTCTTATTGAACTGCCCACTGAAACAAAAATATTCTCAATTTTGTTTGTCCACAAATACTGACCCCGTAGTTACGAAGGTTTGGGGATGATAACCTAATGCGCTGGTGTTGTGTCCCGGCAATAGCAACGAAAACAAACCCCCATAATCAGTTTCCAGAAGCTGCTTCATTCTGTAGCACGTTTAGCCTACGCATCGCTATGCTCAGGTATCATGACCAATATACGGTAACTGTTGTGGCCATACAGCCTCGCCCCTCCATTCACATTTAGGCTACTCACCACACCGAGCCGTAGGCTCCAGAGCCCACCGGCGTCAGGTTCTGGTACCGCTCCGGAACCTCCCACACAGTCTTGTTGAGCTCCTGCTGGTAAAATCCAGATCTGGCGGACATCTCTCCGAGCCGGCGACAGAAAAAAAGCAGAGAGCAAAGGCTAAGGTGGGATAATGGAGATTAACTGATGAAAACGGTGGACGGAAACGGACGGCCCACCGACTGCTATGCGAGCTGTTCTTGTTACTGCTTCCACATTCCGCGCTGTCTACTGTCTCGCTGCTTGTTCACCCCACCCCATGACTACATTGTCAGAAAGTGAGATAGATTGACATATATTATATTGTATGCACGTGGGCTACACACAAACTGCTACCCTGTCTCAGGAAAGTAATTATAGGCTTTTAATTAATGCTGTATTAATAAATTTCTGGCCACTAGGGAGCAGAAGTACTTCAAAACAGGTTAAAATGACAGACACAGTGGGTTTACCTCACTTTGAATTTAAAGACAACTGGCTTTTGCAGCTGTAAACAGACTCATAAAGCAATTTTTTCCAGGTCTTGTAATTAAAAGAGATTAAAAATTTGCACATAGCTAAAGAGTGGATTTTACATGCTGTGAGTGCTGGGATTAATGTTACCAAAAGTTACCACACCAGAGAGTATAAAAATACCAGTTCCGTTAATTGAAGTGCAAGGATAATTTGTGACAGCTGACGTCAGATATTTTTGCACTTAGGTTCTGGGTTTTTATGGCCTGCAGCTGTCCAACACCCATGCTGTTTTGTGCACAATATTTTACAATCTGCAATAAAAGTAGGGTTTTTCATGGGAATGGATGGGCAGGCTTGCTGGAGAATCTTGTACAGTCCAATTTAGCAATTATGATTGATGAGTCTCTGGCACTGGTTGTGCAGATTGTGAGGAATCCTATTGGTGGTGGAAATGTAAAGAGGAGACTGGGTATTCTATTGGAATGTGAAATTTTATCCAAGAAAAGATGCCAGTTGTACATTAATGAAAACTCTGACATGACATGCTTCTCCATCTGTCTATCACACCTCCTACATGAGGGGCTGACTGACCATCAAGCTAGAGAGTTAGGTTTTGTAAATCACAGGACTGCAGGGTTCACACCTGACACTGCTGTTACATTGGCAGATGTAAATTCAACCAGCTGGTACAAACCAACACTGTGGTATTGTTTAGAGCAGAAGGGAGAATAGATTTCACCAAGTATGTGGCTGACCATAGGTGTTATGGAAAAACAGTGTACATGCTCCTGCTTGATAAACATTATTATAGGATAAAAAGTATAATAGGTTTTCTCGGTGTGGGTTATGTGTGCCCCTCATGGTGTGCTGGATACAACAACAAATGTTACCACTCCTGCAGAGATCCAATGCCAGTGTCTTGATCAAGAGGTCGCACACTCAGTGCAAAGAGTGAGGTTACGGACAGATTTTGTATAACATCAGTCAACTATCGCCCACTAGCTGGAACCAATCAGAAATGTATCATAGGTATGTGGCCTTCATAGTTATCTCCTAGATAGGCAGCTGGGGCCCGTTTCAAGAAGGAGGTTTTGTTGAAACTCTGAGTTTGTTAACCCCAAAATGAGGAAAACTCGGAGTTTTCGGTTCCAGAAACGAAGGTAACTTAAACCCGTGAAAGCGGGGTAAGTTAAACCCGTTTCAAAAAGAGAGGTAATCTAAACTCAGAGTCAATTACTATGGCAACTTACTCTGTGAACCTAACCTGATTGGGAGCAGGTTTTGTACGGGAAACCCAGAGTTTCCTCCGGTCTCCGCCCCCTTTTAAAGTGAAAGGTGTTTAAATAGGCCTACCTCATTTAATCTTTCAGTACATTCATAGATTGCACATGTTTCCGTCACACAGAGACCAAAATGGCATGTCCATTTATAGAGGATCCTGTAGATGAGGAGTTTGTATTAATTCGCAGGGAACTGAATTTACGTCGGGAGAGGATTTTGAGGCCACGAGTTGATTTTTTGTCATATCCCCATGTATTTTTATTTGAGCGGTACCGTTTTTCTAGAGAGTCCATAACATATATCAA